GTAGGGACTCTCATATCTTAATTGTAATATCTGTTTCATGGGATCTTCCAGGTAGGGAGGTTAAATTTTAGGTGAGTCATCTAGCAGATTATTAAAAAGATCAACTCCAGTAATGTGGCTGAATTCTGTCACTTGTACTATATACTGCCTGCAGGTAGAGGGCTGAATAATTTTCAAGGGTCTTTTGGGCACTTGATGTAACTACCTATTGAATGTTTGTCATACAGTATACTTCTGTGCTTAGTCATAACTGAAGTCATATTGCAATAATAAGCTTCAGAACACAGTAGGGCTTGAAATATTAGAGTGGAGGAAGTTCTGTCTAGATTTTTTACCCTGGCATCACATGTTAACGAGGCTGTGATTTTCAGCTTTTTTCCTCCAGAGAAAGATCTCAGAGAGCATCAAAACCTTCTAGCCTAGAAATCAAGGCAAGTCCTACATCTCTAGCAAATGATACAGTTGGCCAAACAGCCTTTGCTAACAGAAGGCGCTCCGGGCTACCTTGCTTTACAACAAATAAACTCAAATGCAAACCTGCAGCTATAGCCTTATCCAGCATGTATGACTACACTCAGATCAGACAGCAGTATCAGCAGCATTTTTCTCTTGTGATAAATACACACATTTGTCCTGTCCCAGCCATCTGTTAGAGTAAAATTAGAATTGAAATAAGGGATATGTACCATGATTCTGTACCTTACATCTTTGGATGATCTTATCTAGCAGTCTGTTATGTAAATCAGGGATAGGGAATCTGTGGTCCTTTGGATATTGATGAATTAGCAGCTCATAGGGATGCTCAGGTTTGCAATTCAGCACAATCTCAAGGACTTCAGTTCTCTCTCACTATTGTAAATAGACAAAAAATGGAAACGTTTTTTGATATACAGTAGGTGTAAAGCATAGGAGGCAAGATAGAATACCGCAGCACTCTCCACCCAGGGAGCCTTAGTGTAGAGGGTAAGTCTCTTTACACCAGATTTTAGAATCCAATTCTGGGAAGAATTGGAATTCTGCAGAACAGTGCTTCTTGGTACTATCCATGCAAAAAATCCAAGAAAGTTGGCATTATGTAACACTGAAAACAAGTTGAATTAGTTATTAATGAGCCAAAGAGAAGGTCTACTCTGTGGTTTCGGTTGAGATTGTGAGTTGTGAAGTGGTGAGAAATTAGCTTCCCAGGCTCTCAAATATCCTAAGGGGTATATGTGCTATGAAATTAAAAACAAACAAACAAACCAAAAACCTTCCTGTTCTTGTTATAAATGAGGGACAAGAATTCTTGTTTTTTAAAACGCCATACAGAAGTAGGGGATCTGCTGCCCTCAAGACAGATGCTAGATGCTCTAATGTTGGGCATGCCAAAAAGTGACTCGTGAAAATTCAAGTCCAAAACAGAGGCAGCTCCTACCTATATAATAGCAAAATATTCTACTTTAAAGTTGGCAATCAGTCTTGAAATTGAGATTTCAGAAATATGGGAAAGGAAAAAAAAAGAAATGCATGGGGATGCTCAGTAATATGTTTTATCAACCAGTCACATTTTGAATATAAATATTACAGGATGTTCTGCTGAAACTCTCCCAACTATACTGAAGAGCATGGATATTTCCATTATGGTCTGTTCCACTTCTCTGTTCTAGGAATTGATGTTTCTACCCAGATAGTCTACTTAGTTCTTTTGGTATACAGTTTGGCCAGAAGGATCTGTAGGTAGCACTCCAGAGCCTTCCCAGCTCTGCTTCCTGAGAAGCAACTACAGTTCTTGTGTTTCTGTTTTTTTGGGGGGGAGGGTCATTTCATTTTACTTTTCATCTGTATGCTGAAGAGCATACATATATTTAAATGCAATTTCTGTGATACAAAGAAAGGGATGCCTTTCTTGGTATGATCTTGAGTACCTGGGTATTAGTTATTTGAAATACTTGTCTCTGTTAATATGATTACTGTTCTACATAAAGAAAATTCTGATACATCATAAAATCACTTTTGTATAATCAGTACAGTACGTATACATACTTTGCTCTTCCCTCCCCCATCCTTCATCCTGTTTGTTTTCCTGTTGAGTAATGCATGCTAGGTGCAGAATGCAGATGATGATGATGATGATGCTTCAGTTGGGGTGAGCCAACTTGTTCCAATATGCCAGATTGTCTCAGTCTGACAGGAAACATAAGCCCCTTAACATCCTGTTTTTTCATGACTTCTTTTAATGCTGGTTTAGTGAACTGTTACTGAGTGAGAATTTACAATGAAGGTGAGTTTAAATCCATTTTTCCCCTTGCCATTTTAGAAAAATTCTTTTGTTTTTAAATAGTTTCTGTTATTTAAAATTTTCATTTTAAATGTCTCTCTGGATTTAGGACTTTTTTGCCTTTATCTTGCATAAAGTTGTTTAAGAGTTTCTGAAACACGGATCCAGAAACTGGATTTAAAAAAATAAATAAAAATCAACTGAAGTTTCCTTTTTTTAATAGATGTTTAGGAAGAATCTCTGCAGAATATTTTTTTTGTTGAGTATGTTTACTTAATGGAATTAAAACTTGTCTCTCTCAAGCCATGGCTGTTTGTTTCTGATGTTAAACTTGGTATTTGTGATGTTTTATTGTTTTTGATGTTGTTCTCTTACTTAGAGGTGTAGCAAAATGTGGGTATGCGTACCAGATGTGGCAGAGGTGCAAAAATAAATTACACCGCTTACATACTTTGCTTTACAACAAAGTATATATGAAGAGATGAAATGGAGTAATAATGCATGTATGTAATACTGTATGTTCTTTATATAGATAGTTTAGCACGTTACAAAAGATTTTGCTTTAAAATGTTCTGAAAAGCAGGCAGCATTTGAATTATGAAATCGGAGAGGCTATGCATGTGGAAATGAATGAATCTGGCTGCACACGTGGGAGGGGCTGCATACCCATAGAAATGGGAGATGTTATAGAATTGACTATTATTTTATGCATCCTGGTACAGTACAATAAGCTTTCTGTTTCATCTCTCAGAATTTTTAATTTAGTGGATTTAGGTTACACTAAACTAAGATTTTTCATTTATGTGTTGGTTGGCAAATTATCATTAAGAATAGTTAATAGGAATGAAAAAAATAGAAGTTTTGTTTTTTCTGGTATTTATAGTATGTATAAAATGTATTTTCAAAAAACAAAAAGCTTACTGTATTGCTAGCATTTCCTAACCAATAATGTTCTTTAACTTAATTTTGCTTTATTTTTAAGTAATTAAAGTGGCATTGAAGTAAATACTATTCAATGCCATTTTAATTGTTTCCATTATGCAGATATTTCAAAGTATGCTGCCAATTCTACTGAAGTTTCATTTACTGTACTTAAGGTGCATTAATAATTTTTATTTCATTTGCACTTTCATATTTTGTAAAAAAAAAAAAAAAAGAAGAAGAAAGAAAAATAGCACCTTGAATTCGAAAGGATGTTTTCCAGCTTCTACATAATGAGTAAACATTCAAGTTATAAAATTAATCTTACAGGTTTTTTTCTATAATTTGTGCATTCTTGTGAGGTGATTACCTTTCTCCCCAGTAAGGAATTTCAGTTCTTCATATGTGAAAAGGTGGAACTAATTACTCTTTATTCAGCTTTCTGTATGTATTGTTTTAATCCTATTTACAGAACTAGGGTATGAAACCCATTAGAATTGACAAAGATTGGAGAAGCATGTAAACCTGCCAATATATAAATGTCTTTTTTAAAAAGTGGGAACAAAGCCTAAATTGTTTTCCTCCCATAGATGTATATGTATGCTAACACACATAAGAGAAACATCACAAATGTGTTCTTTGCTATGTGCTTGGTTGTATTGTCATACACATAGGTTTGAGTCATACTCATGTTTCATAAGATTGCTTTTTAATATCTGAGATAAAATGTGAAAGAGAAACAACATGGATTGAACATACAGTTTTTGCAGTTCTTGAATGTGAAAAGATATTTTTTTATCCTTTCTTCAAGGAGCTTAGATGGGATATGCTATCCTTTGGATAAGCTTCCAAGGTTTGTCAGAATGACAGCTCTCTGGATTCACACATTCTAAACCATTGTTTGTTTAACCACTGTGTTGAATAAGACACAGTTGCCTCCATTCATACATGACATCGTTATACAAATGATAATTGCCAAAATAACATACTTTTCTATTAATGGACCTTCATAAATAATGGACATCCCCTTCCCACAATGTCTGTTAAAATGAGATTTCACTGTACTGTGGTTTACAAACTACAAAGGATGGGATCGTACAAGAGATGAAATGAAACTCAAGCAAGCCACATTATGTATGGCTTTGAGCAGAGGCAACCTGTGACTTAGGGCTACCTGCAAGCCTTGGAGCCCTTCTAGCTATTGCTGTTGAAAACTGATGGCACAATTTCCTACTGTCTGATGATGGAAAACAGATGTGGTGCAAGCCTAAAAAGTGTTTTCTTTGTTTAAACAAAGAAAAAATTCAACTGCTGGGGAAAAATCAAGCCTTTCCTACGTGTATATCTAGGATTGGGGCCTACCCTCACCTACATTTAAAGTACTTTAATGCAGCCCTTGAGCCAGGAAAAGTTCCCATTCCTGGTTTAAGATGATCTGAATCACTCAATTGCCTGTTCTGGGATTTGAGCCCAGATCTGTCCAGTATAAGTTTGATATTCTTAACAATTACAGCTCTGCAAGGTCCCATATAATTCATTGCTGGTTGACACATCATAAATATGGATTGTTTAATCTGGGATTGGCATAGTGTTTGAACCTAGTCATTCTGGATTTTAAATTGTGTTTTATCACTTTGAGTATGAATCAGGCTTGTGCAACTTCAAACTGTAGTTAAAACAAACCATGGCTTAAAATGATTTGTGTATGCAAGTAATATAAACATAAACTACAAATGTTGAGGTAAGCTAATATATTTACAGGCCTTTCAAAAAAGTGTTGATCTTGTTTCTAGATTATAATGAGACTATGATTTTTTTTTAGACCTTTGATGCAAATGATCTCTATCAAGGACAGAATTTCAGTAAAGTGCTCAGTTCCTTGGTTGCACTAAATAAAGTAACAGCAGGTAAATAGAAATCCATTTAATAGATATATTTTATAGTTTTCTGGGAGAAGTTTATTGTTTTCAGTTACTTAGCATTAATGTAATAACCTTTCCTCCTTCCTCCTTTAGCTTGTATGATTCAAATTTGAATAACTGCGGTTACATTTCTCAGAATGTTACTCCGTATCATTTGCTTTTCTACTTTTGGGATTGACTTTCTCCCACATCCCTTGTCTGACTCTCCAGTGATCTGCGAGCTGCAAAATGTAAAGTCAGTTCTCCTTTGAGGCCAAGTCAACTCCTGGTGACTTCATGGTGACTTCTGTATAATTTTCCTGGCAAGAATACAAAAGTGACTTTTTTGATTTCTAGTCAAAATTGTAGTCCTGGGACTTCCCTTCAAAACCCTAACCCAGTCTGGTCCTGCTTAACTTTTTGAGATCAGCCAAAGTTGCCTAGATGCTGCCACCTACCTGGGCATGAGCAGAATATCCTTTTTTTAAAAGAAAACAAATGCGCTGATGCTGTGTTCAGTTGGCTAATGCTAGCAACAAAGTTAATAGCTATATAGTACTTCAGATTCAAAGGGATACAGGTGCTTCAGAGCACATGACAGCATCAACATAGCATCTGTCTGCAACTCTTCAAAGTGGTTGTGCCTTTTCTTGGGATCACTTAGCTATACAATCCTGGGAAAGACATCCTTGATTTCAGAAGTTGCAGAGAGGTGTTTCATCTGTGACGCCTCTATTCTGAAGCACCCATTTGCTGTCAGAGGAGTGCTGCTCAGCTCTAGCAGAGAGTGGCTTCACCTTTTACTGCCTTCTCCTAGTTCCATGCAGCCAGAGTTATAGATAACATTCTAAGCTTTGCCCTCCAAGGGGAAGGCAGAATAAGTTGCAAATGGATTCAGAGACTACTGTACTTGATATATTTAAGTGCTGCTTTGCGTACACAAACCGCATTGGTTTCAGTAGCATGTGCTTTTTCGTACAGTGAATGGAGGCTGAAAGTTCAGATGGCTTGAATGTGGGAAGGATAGGCTGTACATTAAGATTAGCTTTTCCCAACTTAATACCAGATGTGTTAGATGACCCATCACTTCTTATTTGGCTCAGGTCTTGATTAAATGATAGGATTTATAGTCTGATTGATCTGGAGACTGCTGGATTGGGGTAGTCTGATTTAGACTAATAAAGAATATATAATGAATTGTGTAATTTACTCTTCTGGAGTATCATTTCTCCTTGCTATTCCCAGATTTTGTTCCTTATTCATATGAGGAGAACCCCATATAGAAGCAGCATTCTTTTTTAATTTAACCTGAGAAATTAGTTGGGTATGTTTTAATGTACCTATTATGAACCCAGTGCTCTCCAGATATTAGACAACACATTTCAGAATTCTGAGTCAACATACCAACACATCTGGAGGGAGCACACTATTAAGGAAGACTGTTCTAGAAAAAGCACTATAAAGATTGTATTGCATACTTGGATATGCAGTCGGTTTCTTCTTAATCCTTTGAATTGTGAAAGGGCAATTGCATTGCAGACTAACTTGGGTATTTTAAAGGGAAAGAAATTGGGTTTAGAGCTACTTTATAAGGAAACCAGTTTTTATTCACCTTTTAAGCTGGAGGCTCAAGGCAATGTCCATCTTAAATCCAGTGGGGTTCAGGGTTATTTCTATGCAGTAGTTTTTGCTTCCCGCCTTAACGAACTTTACAAGGGCAGTAGGCATAGTCTGTGGTTAGATTATAGCTATTTTTGAAAAGTTAGGAAGTGGTGGTTTTTCGTTTGTAAAGGGAGCTTTTTTCTGGATACTTGTTGAATTCCCTCCATTTGACAGAGATCTCCTCCCGTCCTGTGTCTTCCCTGGTGCATATAGTGCCCTTTGGGGTGCAGTGCATATCCATGAAGGACATCCAATTTACAAATTTGGGGAATGATAGCTAAATTTAAATGAGCCTATATCTATGTAAGCATATTTCCTAAAATAAATATAACAATATATGTAAAGCAATAGGTAAAAAGTTAAATGTTATGTACATGTATATGTGCCAATTTTTTTTTCCAGATATTGGTTTAGGGAGTGATTCTGTGTGTGCAAGGCCATCGTCTCACCGGATAAAGTCTTTTGATTCCTTGGGATCCCAGTCTTTACATAGTAGAACTTCAAAACTGTTTCAAGGCCAGTACAGAAGTCTGGTAAGTATTAACACATTTTAAATAGCTTTTTATTTTCCTTAATTATTGCTGCAAAATGAAAAGCTTGACTCAGATTAATAGCTGATAGTGTGCTTCTCGCCTAAGGTAAGTGTCTTGTTTTACATTGTTTTGCTTTTCTTGATTTCTTGAGACATAATGAGAAACAATATCTCTTCAGATGCTGTATAGAGATGGATTATAGTCAACACCCCAATATATCAATGTATGCTTAAGTCTTTTAAAACCAATGTTTTGGAGTATAGCCAGAGAGTCCTAGAACTTCTGTATTGTAGCCATGACAATTGTATTGTCACCATGTTCATTATGAGCTACTGTTCATCAGCCTAAATCTTAATATATAAAGGATACTCCTCCGCTTAATGTGTTAAATCAGTCTTAATTGTGTCAGTTTACTAGTGGTATATTTGTTGGTTCTGTTCCAATTCAGGTTCAACTGCAACTGAAGTTATTCCAGTTCAAACCAGCAACAGTTCTGTATCCAAATGTGTTTATATAAACTGCTTGATACACATGAACCAGCCAGTCTTATGGCAAAATGTTAATATTGTTCAAATAATTATCAGCTTGATTTGCCCTGCCATACAATGTAGAACTCTAAAACTAGTTCTAATGCAGTTAATGTTATCAAAGTAGTATGTACTTAGGATCATATACATTTGAAAGGCTGATTGTATAATTTTTTTAAAATTATAGAATCACATATGCATGTAGGTTGAAGAAGCAAGTGTGTTAGCTTTTCCTTACAACTCATTAAGTTAAATTTTTATCTAAATATTTTGTTCTTTTGAAAAGTACCTAAAACTTTGTTATTTCACTGGTCTCATCATTTCTAGGATATGACAGATAACAGCAACCACCAACTAGTGGTAAGAGCTAAATTTAATTTTCAACAGACAAATGAAGATGAACTTTCTTTTACAAAAGGAGATATTATCCATGTTACAAGAGTAGAAGAAGGAGGCTGGTGGGAAGGAACTCACAATGGCAAAACAGGATGGTTCCCCAGCAATTATGTGCGAGAAGTAAAATCCAGTGGTGAGTTTCAAGAGTCTGCCTTTCCCAATGACCTTAAATAAAGTTGGTAACTATTCAAGGGTATAAAATGCATCTTTATTTATTTATTTAATTTGAATTTATTAGCCGCCCAACTCCAATGGGCAAATAATATTAATATTAATAATAATAATAATAATACCTACCACAAAAAAAACCCAGACTTAACAATTGTTGATAAGAAAAACAAAAAAGTCTGGATAGTGGACATTGCAATACTTGGGGACAGCAGAATAGAAGATAAAAAAACTGGAGAAAAAGCCCAAATTCAAAGACTTGCAAATAGAAGTAGAACAACAGTGGCAAAAGAAAGCAAAGGTAGTACCAATAGTCATAGGCACATTGGGTGCAATCCCAAAACATCTGGAGCATCACTTGAAGACCATCGGCATTGACAAAATCACCTTCAGTCAATTGCAAAAGACAGCTTTACTTGG